AGTGATGTTGAGCATCTTTTCATGTGTCTGTTGGCCATCTGGATGTCTTCTTTAGGGAAGTGTCTATTCATGTCTTCTGCCCATTTCCTCACTGGATTATTTGTTTTTCGGGTGTAGAGTTTGGTGAGTTCTTTATAGATTTTGGATACTAGCCCTTTAACCACTATGTCATTTGCAAATATCTTTTCCCATTCAGTCGGTTGCCTTTTAGTTTTGTTGATTGTCTCCTTTGCTGTGCAGAAGCTTTTTATCTTGATGAGGGCCCAATAGTTCATTTTTGCTTTTAATTCCCTTGCCTTTGGAGATGTGTCGAGTAAGAAATTGCTACGGCTGAGGTCAGAGAGGTTTTTTCCTGCTTTTTCCTCTAGGGTTTTGATAGTTTCCTTCTCACATTCAGGTCCTTCATCCATTTTGAGTTTATTTTTGTGAATGGTGTAAGAAAGTGGTTTAGTTTCATTCTTCTGCATGTTGCTGTCCAGTTACGTTCTCTTCCTTTTCAAATTGAGTCTACAAAGGAGAGTTAAAACATTTCATCAAAGCTGTCTGTTATGAAGAGACATTTTATTACTATATTTCTTCAAGTGTAAAGTACATATCAAACTCTAAAATACTTGGTCTTTATTTACTGACTTTCTCTTCTGTTTCCTAAGTGACAGTTAAAGTTACATTACATCATGCTCCTAAGTAGAAGTCAAAGTAAGTTAAATTCAATGTTATAAAATCTTCTACTTTTCATAAAAATGCTATGTATCATTTAATACCAAACCTGCTTCTTACATTCCCATAGGAAGAGAAATAATCTTTCCTATCCCTTCTTATCTTCCCCTGGTCCACAAAAGAGTCACTGTCTTTGCCCCCATTGTCCAGAGTATTAAGACACCCCAGCTTCCATGTAACCATTCTCTCCTCTAGAAACCAACACAAGGAAGCTAAGGGATTATCCTGCATCCTTTGGAGACAGAATGCAATTACAGTAGGCTTGTTTGGAACTCTCTGCAATATTATTTCTTGCCATTGTTTCATTGAGATGTCACAAAAGGCAATCTCAGCAATTGGTTTACACTCGCACTAGAATCATAACTGTTTTCATACAATGTGCACCCACAAGTTTTGCCTTCTTTATTACTTATTTGCAATATACAATACCTTTATGTTCCAGAATTACTAAATCTAATACCGTTCCCTTTACCTTATGGTTTTTGAGGTAGACGATATAAACATTTTTCTCCCCCCCCCCAAATTTTCCATTTATTCATAAACCAGATAAAGGCTTACCTTTTTACTTTTTTTTAAAGTTTTTTTAATTGTAATAACACTTACACAACACTTACCCTTTTAAGAAATTCTTCTTTTTTTTAATTTTTTTTTTAACGTTTATTTATTTTTGAGACAGAGAGAGACAGAGCATGAACAGGGAAGGGGCAGAGAGAGAGGGAGACACAGAATCTGAAACAGGCTCCAGGCTCTGAGCTGTCAGCACAGAGCCCGACGCGGGGCTCGAACTCACGAACTGTGAGGTCATGACCTGAGCTGAAGTCGGACGCTTAACCGACCGAGCCACCCAGGCGCCCCTCTTTTAACAAATTCTTAAGTTCACACTACAGTGTTGTTAGCTATAGGTACAGTGTTCACCACAGACCTCTGGGGCTTATTTATCTTGTATAATTGGGTAAACATTTTTCATATGTACGCTTCTACTTTAAAAATCTAAAAAGAAAAATGCCTTAGTTTGTTAGCAAAGTCAACAGAGAATGAGGTCACTTTGCTAACATTAGAGTAAGCAAAAGACATTTGAGGCCAGGAAACAATACGTGTATGTTCTTTGCACTGGGTTTATTGTACCAGTTAACAAAGTTAACTCACCCATTGAAGATGCCAGCCATTTCCACTTAGGGGTTGTGTCACATTTACAACGAGATCATCCTGTAGTTCCCTGTCTTTATCAAAAAGAAAATGAAACAAATTTTTTAAGTTTATTTATTTATTTTGAGAGAAACAGAGACAGCGCCAGTAGGGGAGGGGCAGAGAGAGAGGGAGGGAGAGAGAGAGCATCCTAAACTGGCCCTGCCCTATCGGCACAGAGCCTGACGCAGGGCTTCAAGTCAAGAAACTGAGATCACGGCCTGAGCTGAAACCAAGAATCAGACGCTTAACTGACTGAGCCACCCAGGCGCCTGAAAATTAAAAAAAATAAAATAAAAAAATAAAAAAAATTGATAGAAGAGTGTGGCTATGAAGTATGAGTTGTATTTGTATTTATGTTTATTGATATATAATAGTTTGAATTCTTACCCCTCCTCCCAAATATACTTTAGTGTGAGAACTGAGAATTATCAATCTCCATGTTTGGAATCAAAGGCTATAAAGCCCACCTCCGGAATGTTTATTTTGCAGATAAGGAAAATGAAAGTCTCGCAGACTATTCCACTTGGTCAGGGCCACGTAATTGTCAAGTGGCAGTTTTACGTTATGATCCCCGCAGTTTGGTTCTCAATCCTAT